CACAGGGTCGACAGGGAGGGGGAACTTAGACATTGGCTACCCAAAATGGGGAGACTACAAAGGCAAGAAGTGACTGGATTGCAAGCTTTCAATAGGGAACCTAGCTCCAGAAGATACAGGGAAAGGTAGAAACTCCACTGAATTGTTTCCACCCTGTCTGGGTGGGGTTAATAAAAGGTGAGGGGGAAAGGACTCCTGTGGTTCAATAGGGAATGATTACTTATCAGGTCTGACAGTGAGTGTTGGAAAGGTAAATGTAAATGTTTGGTAAGAAAAGGAGGGGAGCTACTGAGTTTGCAGTTCAGGAGCAGAAATCCCTGGAACCATCAAGAGAGAAAAGCATGGTGTGAGACCGTGTCTGGAAAGGCAGTGACACTGGGGATGGAGGCAGAGACAATGAAGTTGACAGAAAGAGCGGCTGGGGACTCTGCACTCAAGTGGGAGAGGGGTTGTGTGCTGGCGGCTGGGAGGCAGGTGTATGGGGTGTACCCTTTGATTGTTTGATGATACATGCAGGGGATTGTGATCATTGCAATGAAACAAAGTATGATAGGATGAATGTAAAGACAATGTTCACCCATGTAAACTAACACATAAGTCACAATAAAAACTTTAAAAAAAAAACAAAAAAGAAGAAGACAAGAAAGAAGGAAAAGACCAAAATGTCAGAAGAGACTTTGAAATTTGCTCTTCAGCATAGAGATGCTAAAGCAAATGGAGAAATTATAAAGACTGGAGAATTCAAGTTTCAAAGAAAGAACATGGTTTTATAAAAGAAATAAAAATGGATTTTGAATAATTTTAAAAAAGATATAATCCTTTGGATTTCATTTTAGAAAACAATCCAGTGGACCTGAAAATCCCCATAAGACTCCTTGGCAGAAGGCGCAGCAGAAGAGTCATTATAAAATTATTATACCAGGCTTATTACATCTGAGTCCCCCTAGATTACAAAACCTAAACCTAATCATCAATTTCTAGCATATATTATTTCAATTTTATTCATGGGTAATCTATTATGTAAAACTAAGCTTTGAAGGGAAGAAGGCTCAAAAATTCCAACCCACTTCTGCATCATCCTGAAACAGAAAACAACAACAACAACAACAACAACAAAAAACACCTAGAAGTATAGGAATAGATAATCCTTTCAGAATAGGAAACTAAAGTGCTAAAGTGAAAACTGAGAAAATAATTGCCCATTATATATAAATGGAAGTAGTTGAAATGCTATGGCCTACAAATGGTCTGTTAAAGAGATATAAGCAGTGAGAAAATGGCTTCCTGATCAGGGTTAAACGTCCTTCATAAAGCAGTCAATCAAGCTGCCAAATTACCAAATAAATAAAACTGCCTGGTTGCCAAATCACTTGATAATTTCCAGAAACCCTAGGCCTCCTCTGGTTATCAGGTCCTAGTCACTGAAAGTGTAAATTACCATAGTACTGCCTTCTAGGCTAATCTAACTCCACTTATTCAACAAAAATGCATTAAGCATCCACTATAAATGAGGCCTCTGGTAGTGTAGTGGTTACGAATCGTGCTGCGAACAGCAAGGTCAGCAGTTTGAAACTACCAGCTGCTCCACAGGAGAAAGATGAGGCTTTCTGCTCCCATTAAGATTTACAGCCTCAGAAACCCTGTACAGGGTCGCTATGAGTCGGAACCGACTCCATGGCACATAACAACAACAACATACATGAGGCCTAAGGAGCTCTGGTAGTGTAGTGGTTACGAATCGGGCTGTTAACCTCAAGGTCGGCAGTTCAAAACTCCCAGCTGCTCCGCAGGAGAAAGATGAGGCTTTCTGCTCCCTAAACGATTTACAGCCTCGGAAACCCTGTGCAGGGTTGCTATGAGTTGGAACCGACTCCACGGCACATAACAACAACATACATGAGGCCTGGTAAGGCGCTGTGGCTAAATGCGCTAGGCTGCAAAGTTGTTTGAACCACAAGGTCGGTAGCTCAAGCTCCTTGGAAACTCTATACAGGGTCGCTATGGGTCGGAGCCGATTTGATGACACTTAGCAACAACAACATACATGAGGCACTCTGCTATAAGCTGAGATTACAAATAAGGAGCTCTGGTAGCGTAGTGGTTACGAATCGGCCTGCGAACCTTAAGGTCAGCGGTTCGAAACTACCAGCCGCTCTGCGGGAGAAAGATGAGGCTTTCTACTCCCGTAAGGATTTACACCCTCGGAAACCCTGTACAGGGTCGCTATGGGTCGGAACCGACTCGACGGCACTTAACAACAACAACAACAACAATGGTGAATATGAGACAATTACCTCGCACTCAAGGAAAAGTTGCATGAAAAGAAAAGATTTGATCTTTAGCAGGAAATAAGGTACAAATGTACTATTAATCTTCTGGCTAAATTGTTGTTAAGTGTTGTGGAGTTGGTTGCAACCCATAGCAACCCTGTATAGGGTTTCTGAGGAGTGGCTAATGGGTTTGAACTGTCAACTATGTGGTTCAAATTAACTTTGGAATCCAGTGCATTATCCTGAAGTGCCACACTACTTTTTGGTAACTTAAACACTACTTCAAAGATGCTTAACCTTCAAGCGCCTCTTTCAATTATGTACCCTAAGAGCCTCATCCTGGTCTTAGCCCTGTTCTTTCTTAGTAAGTTGGGAGCTATTAATAATAATAATAATAATAATAATAAAAATCACTTAGAAGCATCACACCAATCATCCATTGGAATGTAGCAGAAGATGCTAAGAAGAAATCTCACACAAATTGGCTTGAAGACCCAATGGCAGATGATAATTTACTCAGTGGATATTAACACTAACTTTTGGGGAATCTTTCTGGTTTATAGTTGATAACCAGCTTCCTCTACGCCACACATACCCAATATGTTGATTTCTTTTCCCTTCCAAGTGGAGTTCTGTTTGATGATGGAATGTATAAACTAGGCAAGAGGACAGCTTGAATTGATGGACAAATAGAGGAATGTGCATTAGAAAAAATAAGATGGTAGCTCTACTTTTTGGCTTTTCCCAAGCTACCTTCTTTTAAACAAAAGGAACCCAAATATAGTCGCTGTATTTCTGAAGCATCTGAATAAATGTGTCTATACAAAAATATCTAAGTATGCTAAGCAATCAGCAAATAAAGTTTATGTTTTCCTACCTCCTCCAGCAAAAGGAGCAGCAACAAACGGGCAGAAATCCCAGGATGATCATGCTGCTCACACCAAGCGCAAACATCCGGAACATCTGTGCAGGCACTGTTGGTTTAATTATATCCTGTTACTTTTATGACTTAAGCAAGAGAAGCAAATCTGAGCTCTTTCATAAAGTCTTTATAGAAAACTATCAGTTAATAAAGTAAAATGAGGAGGCATTCTTATGACAGGTAAATATCCTGGCCACTCTGTAGGCAGTAGTTTATGAAATGTTTTTGGACCACATCTAATTTGTTTTTGTACCACACACTTTAAATATATGCTCCCCCCCCCCCCAATGGAAGCTTTAACAAAATGATCCTACTGTTTTTCTTAACAGATTATTATGATGCATCGCATACATTTCTTCCTATGACCCTAAGTGTCTTTTCTTTGGCCATATGTTATACATCCTAGGGCACTCAAGGAGTGAATTAATCTATGAACAATTAACTTGGTAAAGGAGTAGTTTATTAAATGTTTACTTTAAAATTATAAAACATTAAACAAGGAATCAAGAATCTGCCAATGAATAAGCATATTTTATTCTTATGTTCATTTAGAAATACATTCTAATATGACTGGGGAATTGTAAGTCACGGCTCAATTTTCTTTTTCTACAAGAACCAAATGTTCCTTCACACAGAATATAAAAATCAAACTGATGAACGAATTATAAACACTATGTAACTGTTAAAATTGTAATACTATATTCATGATCAGGTTTCAGTTTCCATGATTAATACTGGATGTTCAACAAAGAATTGTAAATTCAATTGGGACCATATTAACCTAAGACATTGTTTTGCATACATCCTTTTTATAGCATGTATTAGTGTTCTATTATATCAAATGCATTCATCGTGGGACCAACTGGTAAAATATTCCATTCTCCAAATGAAGGTATAAAACAGATTGTTTAGTTCTCAAAACTTTATAAAGAAAAAAGAACCATTTCAAGATAAGACACTAATCCAACACCTTAACAAAGACTAAAAAAGTTTAACAAGAAACGATTAAATCTACTGTTATACATTTAGATGTTGAAGGAGAGCTAAGTCGGAAAGTTCTACTCAGGAGGAGAAGCTGGGAAGGAAGCAGAAAGCAGAGGCAAGCCCAGCTGGTACCTGCTCCCAGAGACAGGAACCTATGTCACTTAAGTCAGAGAACAACTAAAGCAAAAGAGGTGAGACTCATCTGAAGCTGCCATACAGGCCACCAAAGAACAAAGAACAGACCATGAAAAAGGTCCTGACCACCTCAGGGCTTTCTAAGGACAATGCTGCACTAGGGCTGGCCATTCCACATGTATACTTATGCAATCGTGACCTTTTTATTTCATTTTTAAGTAGAGAGATAGTAAATGTAAGAGAATGAACTTACCATCGTTTAATGGTGTAAAACAGCCAAAGTTACTGGTATCAGAATAACAGCATTTGTACTTCAAACATTCACTCAGGTTAAGAGCTTGACCTCTGCTACAAGGCTTCATTTCCTGATTCTCCTTTGGAATACATGCTTTTAGTAACATAAAATTAAAAAAAAAGAGAACTCAGCATGTTTAATAATAATTTTCTCTAATTAATTATTGCAATATAACACAACAACAAAAAGAAAACACTCTAGAATACGTAAAGACTGAATGATACATACAAACAGCAATGAAGGCTGAAAATCAAGAATTAAATTAATTACCACAAAGTTATCAAACACTACATTTTCAATTCTAGATGAACTACAGAAAAAATATAAATTGTTAATGGATCATTAGTAAGGTAGTTTTTAATAGAAAATAAAACCGTTGAGTTGACTGATGGTGATTCGAAAACAATGCAGAAGGAATGAAATAACAAGAACTGATCAAATGCCCTTGAAACCAACACCTTGTTAAAATAATAGCAGATACTATCTCACCTGAGTTGCTCTGGTAACATAGTGGTTATGAGTCAGGTTGCTAACCTCAAGGTCAACAGTTTCAAACTACCACCATTCCGTGGAAGATGAGGCTTTCTGTTCCTATGAAGACTTACAGCCTCGGAAACTCTATGCTAGGTCATTATGAGTTGGAACCAACTCCACAGCACACCAACACTCTCTCACTTAATTTTATCTTAATAAGCTATAGAAGGAGTTCTGGTGTGGCGCTGTGGGTTAGTATGCTGGACTGCAAAGTGAGTTTGAACCTCAAGGCGACAGTTCAAGCTAACCAGCTGCTCTTTGGAAACCCTATAGTGAGTTGCTGGTCAGAACTGACTCAACGGCACTTAACAACAACAAGTAATGAAAGCTAGCTGAATGGAAGGCATCTGGAAAACAAACAAGATGGTGGATCGGGTGGAAGTGCAGTAAAGGAGCTCTGCCAACAACAACACAGAATACCCGACCAAGCAGGCTCAGGGGATGATCCCAGAACTCTGAACCACATATAAAGGAATATTTAGAAGGTTGGAAGGCTTATAGCTGGGGGAATTTGTAGCAGAAGCAAGAAATCTATTGCTTTCT